TTAATCCAATCCAATTGTTAGATATACAGAAAATAATGGACAAATAAATCATAATTTACAAAATTTATATGCTCTGTTGAACTCATTAGCTGACACCATTGTAGTATCCGATTTTCTCCTTGTTTAAGCAGGGGCTATCCACTGATGATGCAAATATCTTATTTATGACCATCGTAAAGTATATAAACAATCTATTATGAAGTCAATCAATATGATTTATTATAGATGTAGGAAATTAGTTTCAACTGTATTGAGTGATAAATATTGCCTATAAACTATTTTCTCTACTTCCTTTCCTTCAAAATGAAGATGACGCATAAACCATACAAATACCATTTTAATGAAGTTAATTCACAAATTGTAGGTATCACAGATTACTGTTAAACTGACGCGTAGATTAAAGAAAATATTAGGTCCTTACATATGAAATTGGCGTATTTCGTACTGGCCACTTTAATCACGATGTTCTCCTCTTTGGTAAGGAATTCCAAATTCAAATTTGTACAGCTATTTACTCATGTATTTGTGCTTCGATGACCGTCATTCATTTGTTTTTTTCTTCTGTTTTTTTCTGTTTGCGTCACTCATTTTACAAAATGGAAAACTTAAAGTAGGTATCGCATTATTTACGAGTACGAGTTCCGCCGTGGCACTAGTGCTGCGGAAACGACTCGAAGGGTGAATGATGTGTATGGCGGTCATGTTGCAAAAAAAAACACAGTTCGTTTTTGGTTCCATGGTTTTCGTTCTGGAAATTTCGACCTGCAGAACAAGCCCCGTGGACGGCCTTAGACCCAAGTTGATAATGAAGTATTGAAGGCTATTGTGGAAGCGGATCCATCGCAAACCACGTCCGAGTTAGCTGCAGGCTGCGGTGTTAGTGATAAAACTGTTTTAATTCACTTGAAGCAAATTGGGAAGATTAAAAAGCTTGAAAGATGGGTACCTCACGAATTGACTGAAGCAAACCGGCAAACGCACGTCGACTGCTGCGTTACATTACTGAACCGGCACAATAATGAAGGTATTTTAAACCGAATCATTACCTGTGATAAAAATGGATTCTTTACGATAATCGGAAGCGCTCAGCGCAATGGTTGGATCCTGGCCAGCCAGCCAAATCCTGCCCCAAGCGAAAATTAACCCCAAAAAAGTTACTTGTAAGCGTTTGGTGGACTAGTGCCGGTATTGTTCATTGCAGTTTTGTCAAATCTAGCCAGACTATTACGGCTGATGTCTATTGTCAGCAATTGCAAACCATGATGGAAAAGCTAGCGGCTAAACAACCTAGGCTGGTCAATCGCTCCACGCCACTGCTACTTCACGACAATGCTAGACCACACACTGCACAACAGACGGCTACCAAATTAGAAGAGCTTCAATTGGAATGTCTAAGACATCCTCCGTACTCCCCGGACCTTGCTCCAACAGATTACCATTTTTTTCGAAATTTGGACAACTTCTTGCAAGGGAAAAAATTTAACTCTGATGGGGCAGTCCAAATCGCCTTCACAGATTTTATTGATTCCCGTCCGACTGGTTTTTTTAGTAAAGGGATCAATGAACTACCTATGAGATGGCAAAAGTGCATAGAAAACAATGGTTCATACTTTGATTAATTTAATATATTATATTTAAAAATATTCGAATTGTTGTTCCTCCCATACAAAACGCCAATTTCATATGTAAGGACCTAATATATTTTATGATCGCCGTCAAGTATTCTATAATTTTTGTATGCCAGTATTCAAATGCAAAGCGTTCCAGATTTAATTTGAAAAAGAAATTTATTGGAATGTAAGTTGCTTACTCTACTTTGGTTATTAATTAAATCATCAGCATTAATGAGAAAGTAATTTAAGTAACTTTTAATGTTTAATATTAACTATAATTATATTGGTGTACGTGCGTAATATATAAAACTTTTAAACGTCTACACGAGAGACTTGCAGAATTCTGGAAAGCACTCAAAACTTCGAGTTACGTAGAAAATTTAATAAGTTTGGGTTTATTTTTAAAAAGTTTGATTAATATTTTTTTTTGTAGGACCAGTAATGCATAAATGTAGCCATTGTGAAGTAGGTTTTTTTTCTTATGTTTACATATTTATACAGTTTAAACAAATGGTAAAAAATCTGCTTCTACTGGGAAAAGGATTGTAGGGATAGCAGAGAATAAATTTATTCAATTAAAAATATCAATTCTTTTATTAACTCTTTATTCTCTTGAACCTTCGGAAGTAATATTACAATATTGAATGCGGGTTTCATATACAATTACCCATCTATTTTGCTTATATTAACACGACACAGTCACGTTCTGTGAGTTTGTTCACTCGTACTGCCATCATTCGATCAAGTTTGTACGATGAACAACGCACAGTAGGTACATACATAAAATACATAACATAAACAAAATATAATGCGCCACAAAACGTTCACAATTATTTACAATTAATTACTCAATATAGGTACATACTAAAAAACTTAAACGGAAGTTGACAACTAACAAAAATGTTGAAAATAAATAATTCATTAAATATTTTTAAATTTTGAAAGAAAAAAACTGATGGTATTACAAATACCCTAGGTACTAGCTATGGTATGGCAAGATGGATGGAGGTCGTATATAATCTATTTAGCAAATTGCTCATTGTTTCACGTGAATTATCTACAGTTCTTTACGAGGCAGAAACAATAAGGAGAACCTAACATAAATCATCGGACGTACATACGCAAATTTCATTACTCATACTCTTACCATTTAAAGGCTTTTGTTGAAAATGAAACCTTGGACACTAACGTTAGAAGTTTTCGTTTAGCTCCATTTGCACTTTCCCATAAAACAATAAGAACAAGAAATTTTAATAATCGATCAAGGGCTTGCTTTTATGTATCAAACTGGCTATATGGAACTAAAAAGTTGTGCTGGTCACGAGTTAATACATAAGTAGTGAAGGAACTAGAGAAAACTTTTTTTCGTATTACTTCATCGCTAGTGTAAACAAAAAATAGAATTGTATATGAGGCTTTTAAATCCATACAGTCAGTTAATAAACCCAAAAGAAACGCACAAAATAACGATTAATAACAATTTGAACAAGTTCGTATACAAACATTGCAATTTAATGGTTTGTAACTGCACGTCCAAGTCGTAAGCAATTATCCAATAATCATACTAATTAGGCAATTAAGCGTTTTCAAAATACTTCCAATGGTTTTTTTCGCTTAAAAATATCTTCAGTATCTACTATAGTTATATCTATGCAGTATAATTTATAAAGCCTACATATCGAAATTATTTAAGTACATTTTGTTCGATTTTCAAAAGATGGAAATTTTATACCTAAAGACAACCTTACGCCAAATTTAAAACATCATTATTGCACATATCAAACCTCCGCTGATATATTCAATATGACCAAAATAAACTATTCCTTTGGAAAACTTAAAATAATGAACTTTCGATATATTGCGGTCTACATGTAGGTATTAAATCTAAGATGGCTTGGAATTGTAATCGTAGTTAGGAAAACTTATAACTACATTACTAATGATATCACGATACTTAAAAATGTATGTGGACAGTAAGAGATGATTATAAAAATTAAGCGATGTTCTTCGATCGATACTTATTTAATTTTTTAATTCTACCCTGACAATAATTTACGTATAATGGTGACTATCAACACTAATTTTTACTAGTTTACTACTTTTGTTCTGATTACGTTATATATTTTTGTATAAGCGTTCAAGTTTATTTCATGCTGCAACTGATAATTAGAATATGACCAGAAAATGTGTAAAATTAGAAAAACATAAGATTCAAATCAAGTTGATGTATTTTGGCACAATATGCATAATGCAAAGTATACTTGATGATGAATGAATTGCATCATAAAACTCGATTAAGATCAAAGCAAGCGCCTAAGATAAAGCCAGATATTGTAGAACATACTACCTAACCTGAAAACAAACCAGGAGATCGTATGGTACTTAGATTATTCATAAAAAGTAGAACTTACGTCTAAGATATTTTACACTTATTCTACTCAACGTTAAAGATACACTTGTAAAATTTATTCTTAGTACACATTATTTGTTAATATGTATCAATGTTACGTATATAATTTTGAACTGCTGACTTATTTGGACAACATGTTGTTTAGGCGAAGTTATTAATTTTATGAATCCGATTTTTTCTATAAATTATCAATTTCAAAAAATATTGCATTTCCAAGAACAAGATAAATAAAAACCTACACGTGGAATTGTACTTTAATACGTATTTTGCTTTAATATACGTTAGACGTTCTTATGGAATTAGTAATAAAAATATGACATACATGTTGTAAAAAATAATATATAATCGTTCAAATAAACAATATATTTCAAAATAAAGTAAACCACAACTTGATCTAACCACAAAAGTACTTTTAACCAATAATTGACAAAATACAACAAAGATTACAATATAAAGGGATTATGAATAAATTTTAAACATAACCGAACCACTAATAGCGGTAAAATAAAATATACATCAAAATGTACATAATATAATAACTATAATATAAAAGAAATAACATAAAGAGTAGCTGCAGTAATAAATACTTTGAGATTCACAGATTCAAAATCTTAACTAACAATACCGAAATTCACATGAACTTGCAAACCATCCAGCGACGCTAACACTTTTGTAAAATTTAGTAAAATATTATTGCAATACATGGTGTGGTTATGGCAACAAAATAAATGCTTAAAGCACATCACCAGCGTCCACGCGAACGACACCGAGGCAAGTCTTTCGCACTAAAGGAACATCAATACAATAAAAGTCACGAACCTCCACAACGAGGACACTCCTAAATTAGCCGCAATCATAAAACTAGTGGATACGAGACGACTAACGTAATTCGCGGGTCCTCATGGACGCAACACTTCCATTCATGTATTCACACTATGATACAGTATCAGTCAGGATTTGCTACGTGCCGAGGAGGCTTACGTCGGTACCTTATTCACTTTGAGGATATCTCCGCCCTTGTCGATGGGCATTTTCATGGGATCGTGATGGTGTGTCACGTGGTGACCGTGGTGCTGACTCTCCAACTTCGCCTGTTTCTCTTGCTGTTGCTGTTTCATCCTATCCTGCTCCTCTCGTTCTCTGCGAGCCTGCTCGTTTATTTCTTTCACCGCTCTCAATTCTTTCTTTAGTTTCATTCGTCGATTCTGAAACCATATTTTTATTTGCCTCTCTGTGAGGCAGAGCGCGTGTGCGATCTCTATCCTGCGTCTACGCGTCAAATAATGGTTGAAATGGAATTCCTTTTCAAGTTCTAGCGTTTGGAATCTTGTGTAAGTCTGTCGACCCCTCCGCCGTGGGCATCCATTCGGTCCTGAAAATAAAGAAAGATACTTAATGTCGATACTAATAAATTATGAGAAAGCAAAATTATATGTAAATGTATTCATAAGTTTTTGATTGTTAAATCGATTTATTACTGTCATATATTATTGTGGAGCTTTGGCTTCGATTCGCAAAGGCTTTAAGTAAATTTAATGGAGCATTAGCATTTTATTGCCGCATGAAGATAATTTTAGAGTTATACGCTTCTTGATTTAAGCATTTCATTCTTAGTAGATTCAAATTAATTTTACTAATTAAATTTCAACAGAAAATCTACACCTCAACGACTACCACTACTTTTATAAAGACATTATTTTAGCCAGTATATATTGTTTTTGAATCCTTAGTTTTTATTAGAATTAGTACTTTATGGCATTAAAAAGGTGTCTTAAACGCCGAAAAGGGTTACTCTCTGTCCGTGAAGGACAAAGGCGATTTCAATACATCTATTCAAAAATTGTCAAAGCGAGGAAGGGTTGCGCAACTTTCGAATGCTTTGTTTAAATAAAAAGTGTTTCTTGGAATCCGTGAAAGTTAACCCTTTACCGCTTTCTTATTTTTGTCTAATTGTGTGGTCAAAGTTTGTAGTTGTAAATTCTGAACACGTCTCTAGCTGGCTACATTTTAAAAGGTAGAGGCCGGTCCCCAGACAGGTTTCGGTCAATAAATAAGGCAAGATACATAGTTTTCCCTACACGAAACGTGTATCTATAATTGATAGCCAGCTTTGGAATGTCCGGCCATGTAGGATACCTTTTACCTGACTCGCTTAGGTATTACTAAGAGAATAATGGATGATCTTCTAATATCTTAAAAACGTGATCCGCCATCTTAAGTAAGGAAATATGCACTTATAGTTATCATAGAATCTATGATAATTTTGAATAATGAAGATTAAATATATTATTACAAAAAAATATTTTAGTTGTGTTTTTAAACAATAAGTAATTGTTTAAATTCTTACAGAACTAAACGTATAAATGATTTCTAAAATAATATTTTGCTGTACATTTAAAAAACAAGATATAAATTTTATTAACTGCTCGTTTTTATCAGATACAATTTGAGAACAAAGGATGTCTTTGGCAGAAACAACGTCCTGGAAACAATTAAAATTACCATTTACTGGGTTACGCTTATTTAAAGTACAATTGAGTCAGCTATACTGCTTTTATGTCAAATAAATTCGCATCGAATAAATCACGTTCTTCGGAATCCCGAAAACCGCATTTATATTATGAGCAATAAATTAACATAACAACGTCTTTACTGCTGCTATTTAACATTTACAGACGATTCTTTTTACAATAAAAACTTAAAAAGCCGTTTCAAATATTAAAAATAGATAATGTTAAAATCACAAGTGTGCAAGATTCCGAGTGAGATACAAGATAAATACCGACGTGTGGAAGCGAGACAGATTTATCTATTCTAATTTTAAAAAGCAAAGATGGAACCCGAAAATACAATACACCCGTCTCGATTAAACAATCGAAGAGAAAGGTCATAAATGATGCGCATTGTTATCCAAAATAAGATCTTCCTGTCCACAACATAGAGTCCACGTTTATGTGGGCGCGGTTTGGATTTGTTTGCTTTTTGTTGGCGTTTGTAATGTGTTAGCGAGTCAGGTTAGCTACCCTTCGTATAGTTTCCATGACAACGAATCAGGCACCTCCCGTTTCGTCAGCTGAGCTCCATTATTCTCAAAAGCTTTGTTAGAGTTCACCTCGTATGACTTTTGCATCGATTATTACTATGTAAGTCGAAAGCCTGCTAAGCGTAAACCAGCGTATCCTTGATTGTGTCTGATAGCAACAATGTATTGTTCTTATCCCGCCGAGATAACACAAGCGATATCAGTTATTTATTTGTAATCTTAGAATTTTAAACAAGAGAGTTAAAAGTCGCCGCACAATATATCGTGGAATGCATCGTAGCATTAATTAGAGTGTATCTTGCGCCGACACAGGACTATAAACAAACTGAGACAAGACACGGCTCTTACCTCCCTTTTTTCTTGGAAATAAATCTCACATAATGTTCTTGCTTATTTATTATTTTATTTAACTTTGTATAAACCTGCCCACCTTTTGTATGAAACCCGTTCTAGCTTTGATTAATGTAGGCCTGTCGGATCGTAATATTAAGGGTCAGATGTGAATTATACCAACGCTTGTCCAGTAAGAACGTTATTTATGGGGCGGGTAAAGCTGACCAGCTCCTGCAATAGCTAGAATGAGAAATTACGAGGCACGGTTGTTTTGACCAAACCCAAACCTATATTAACTTTTCTTAAAATATTTTTAGGTTTTATTAAATAGTGGTTTTTCAGTTATCTATTTTTGACCCAGATGTTAAATGTTCAATTCTCAGAAAAGTAAATTTGTAGTAGGTACCTAGGTGACAGCGACATTATAATATTGGTTAAACTACCTATAAAAACTTAAAATTTTACCGCTTATATAATTAATAAAATTTGAAAACAAATCTTCTAAATTAACGGGATTGCTTGTTGCCTAACTTAGTACTTCAGATTAGTTCTCGCGCTCTAAAATAAAATAGCAGTGCAATAAAAAATTAAACTTACAAAATACCTTATACTTTTGCATTAATTTTGAACTTTAAAATCATATTAAGCTAATTTTAGCAGGTACTTAATTACATTAATAATTAAGTCAATTATCAAGAGCCATTGTAATTTTTGAAATAAGCAATTTAAGTGATATATAACACCGTAAAAGCGTAATTTAATTAGTTCTAAATCTAGTCAAAGGAATAAAAATTTAAATTGTTCCATGGGTAAAATTAATGGGCTCATTTTATTTATGTTACTACCTCAAATCACGTAGCCTCATATAGCAATTATTATAACGATTCTGTTTCTGCTTAATAACATGGTGAAACGGAAATTAATTCGCAACGAACGTTTTTTACATCTAGGCATTTATAAATAGGAGCAGGAAAGTGAGTGGATATATTATGAGAATTTATTTGACTACAAAGCTAATATTTCAAGCTTGTTCCAGTCGGAAAGGACTATTTTTGCTCGTTGTGAGCGCCTGTTAAATCATCACAATGTTGTACTGTGCTCCGCTTTGAAAGGGACATTGCCATGAAGTCAGGGTTGCCAAAATGCAGCATAAGCTTTGTTAATAAATTTTGTTTGATTAGATTTAAATTACAATCTTCTTTTAATTAAAATTAAAGTTTTTCTTTAAGTACTAGTATTTCAATAAGCTGAAAAAAGATTAGGTTGGAAATCTATTTCGTGATGGTCTATATAATCAAAGGGAAATAATTGGAATAAGTTTCATTTTTAGTATATTATAAAATTATTCTTTATCCGTTCTTATACTTGTAAGTTTGTGAATATTAGGTTTACGTTGGAGTACACATTGCAGAAAAGCTATGTAATGCCCTCATATGACAGTATACAAGCATATTGTCTTATTTTACCCAAATCACTGGCCTAACACAAAATGCTTTTTTTAAACAATATTAATGTATTTTCAGGGTCGAATGTCAAGTCTCACAGCCCTATTTCATATACTTGTATATGTACAGTAGCAGCGATCTTTGATCTGCGCCTCAATGACGTCACGTTTTCATCTCGTTGCTGAATACTAATAGAGAATTGTGAACAAATATCCTCTTATGTGTAACGAAATGATATTCTGACGCGAATTGAGACTAAAATTGGTACTAAATTGATACAATCTTGTAACTCTTGGCTAATATAAATTGGGTTACAATAATACAATGTAATACGCTGTCAAATAATCTAAAACTTGGTTTATTAAATTATAGTGCTATTGTAGTACTCAGTTTAAGTAGCGTTGAATTCAATAAAATTTAATAAAAATGCCTGTGAAGTTGGAATATGCATCTGTTTCATTGATTTTTGTAGATAAGTAGGTGATCAGCCTTTTCCTTTGATATGAGAAAATAACGTGAAACCGTTAAGGTGGAGGATTATACATTTGAGCTTAAATAGTGATGAATATCACGTCAAAGAACAAAATTGCGCTTTATTTTGATAAAAGATTTTTTATAATAAAGAATTGTATTGTTTAAAAGTGTGTTATACACATTTCTTAGAATGTTTAATTAATTTAAATAAACAAAATTCTTTTTATTTGTTTTCATAAACGGACAAGGCGACCTTTATTCGTTGAACGAATTATACTTTATTCTCGTAGTTTCATATTACAGTGTGAACAAGGCACCGGACAAACTAACCAGTGTTGACAACCTGATTTAATGCTCACAGGGTCAACGGCTCACATATGCATATTTCTTGCATGAGAAGAATTCTTAAGACGTTATACTATATGACAAGTGCGATTCGCTACTTTGTTTTGGTGTGAGCTATGACCGTACTTTTCTGCTTACAATGGCTTGTTTAAATTTATAAAAGCCAGCCGTCAAACCTTTACATAATTTCGCTATATGTATTTCCATAAACAAATACATGTGAGCGATCTTAAATAAACAATGAGATTTTACATAATTGGAAGATACGGGGATTCCTACAAAAATTCCTACCTACCTTACCCTACCTATTCCTACCTTCATTAGCTCAACGCGTTAATAATTGTGTACCTATAGAAAGTTTTAGTTTGTAAATCGATTATATTTTATTATCTCTGATTTTAAACAAAAGAACAAACTGAGTAGGTATGTGTTAAATTTCCATAGCGTATACTCCTATAGCTACATTTATATTAATTACTTTACATAGGTATTATAATATATATTACCTATTATGGAGCGTATAAAAATTATAAATCAGGTTAAAAACATTTTTTTTCATACAATCACTATTCGTTTGGAAATCCCATAGTAGGCGTAGACTTTTCAAATATTTAAATGAATAGTGAACTGTTATTGTGTGCTTGATGCTTAAACTGTCCAAAATTTTAATCAGTATGACATGTATTGTCAGGACAAACAAGGTTTTGTACAGATATAGTGACATATTGATAAGAGATTTCATAACTAAAGCCTATGTGAGAACAGTGAACAGTGAATTGCAGATTGCATATTTATGTTAAACGATATTAATTAAAATAAATACATTGTGCTGTTATGAGGACTATTATTGAAATTGATGACATATTCGAGATAAACAGGTCATATGATATCAGAAATGACACATTATACATACTATTCGATTTAATGAGCCTCAATGTTTTCATTAGTCAACGAATCACATTTATTGCAGTTTTTATTTTATTTTATTGTTATAATTACGCTGTATCAATAAAAGACTTCATTGGCTCCTTCATCATGATCATAGGTGTTTGATAGATAGATTAGAGTCTTTGGGGTTTGGAACAAAAGCCGTATAGTTGAAGCTTCGGTATTAAGTTTTCTGTATGAGTAGGTACAATTGACTAACCGTTTACTTCTTTTAAGGTATAGAAACACTAGGACACTAATTATGACTTTAACATTTTAATAGTTTTAAGTACTTCTATGTGAATGTTAAACAATTGACAGTCACTGTATGTTGCTATACGTAGAAACGTTATTTTTAAATGTCTTAGAATTAAAGTGTTAATTTCATAATTATATAAAACTGGTGCCGTTATAAACTTAAGATAGTATTTATATTTAACGCTTGAATAAATTCTTTGTCGTGTATCGACCGGAAACAATTATAAAAATCAATATTTATACGCTTTGTATTTCTTTAACGTATTTATATTAAACATTTGATAATTAAGTAATAATTAAAACGGTAATTAACAGTATTTTACATATTTAACAACTGTTTCATATGCGCCGATGCAAGGTGCATTTGTGTATTTAATTTATGTTCAAGTGTCATACTGTCTTAATTGGAAATTATTTGCATCTGTCTAAACTACCGAGTTGTTTACCTAAGAGTAGGCTAAGCCACCGAATATAGTCATAAATACATTTAATTATCTCCAAAAGAAAGGGCATTTAAAATCTTAATTTAAATTAAAACAGGGTTCAATTTATTATTAATCTGTATTAGTTTATAGATATACATAGGTAGAGCGTAATTAAGTCTATTTCAGTGTGCAATTATAAATACATAGTTACATTCCGATTTAATGAACGTAGTTGGCGCAGGATATGCAACACGGCGATTGACTAGAAGAGCTTAAGTCAGCTCTATGACAATTTCAACTCTATCACTATAGAAATAGGGAACAACTGAAAAATCAATAGTGCTAGCGGGATTTCTCCACCAAGCCCTATTCAGAAAGCGGTTGAAGTTATTTTCACAAATAAAACAGCACTGCTGGCTGCAGTCAGACGCCCACTGCGACGGTATAATTAATACATAGCGCTTTTCTTATTTCAAAGTTATTTTTGATTACATTTTGAAACGGACTTTTGTTATTGTGTTAAGTAGAATCATAATGTTACACACAATAGTAATTGTAGTAGAGACATGCAATTACTTTTAATATGTTAATTATAATTCAGTACTTAAACAAAACGGTGTCCTAAGCTTTCGGCTTAAAGCCTGGTATTGTTCTAAAACACTATTTTGGCTACGGAAATGAATGCTTATTGCTTACCCTCTACTTTTAAATCTTCATTGTTTACATTAACCACGTGTAAATGTTATAACAGGATGTTTAAAACATAGAAATGCCCCTTTGATTTCCTATTACGCGTTCCATTTTTAAGATAAGCCTCTAGTATCTAAATTTATTTCGTTAATTTATTAATGCGAGGCGGTCATATATTCTTAAGAACGGGGCCGTTTTATTTTTGAAAATGGCTCCATCATTCAGAGATAACGCGTTTCGAGAGTCACAAAAACATTTACACTCAGTGTAATGTGTCACATTCCATTTTCGAATAACTAAATATTATTTCTGAGGGTTATATTTATGTTGGTTTAAAATACATAGATAATATGTTTCGATAGCTCCTAAATACTATTGATTGTCTAGATTATAATATTTTATTAGGAGCAATGTTTTAAGCTTTTATTGTATATAATTTGTTTCATAGTATTTTAACCTGAAAGTATGAGATTTTGAAAATTTTCAGTGCAGACTAAATGTATCATTTTATAGTAAATGTGAGTAGTTATCGCCAAAAATCCTTGAAGTAAAAACCAGTATCACAAGGATAAGTCACCTTGTGATATCCTTCAAATGTCTGAACAACGAAATAATAATTTTACCATAAAGCGTCATTAAATGGTTCCTTTATTAGTAATATTCATAGATACTACTATCATATCAGTACAATTACCAGAACCTACCTCAACATTACATAATTAAGTATAATGTGTTATCCGAGTTATCGCGCACATATGGCAAATGGTATGTAACGTCTACTTTTCTAAAATTTTAGAAATTTATGACAATTATTATTAACAGAATTAAATGCCTTCTGTTCGCACCATAATTTGATTAAATATCTGCTGTATATTATTTTAAGATCTATTTATTTCGTAATCTTATCTGCCTTTCTTTTGTTTTATCGGTTTTGTCACCATGTGTGTAAGTAAAGTAACATTCATTCTGTTTATCTTAGTCTGCTCTAAAAATACTTTTTCGGATTGTCTAATAATTATTCGAATCAAACTTTTAACGTATAAATCAGTACAACTACGTATGAAAGCGAAACAAATAACTCATGGTCACTTTATTTAATTAAGACCTTTTAATCAACCTTAACACCCACATACAACACATCATGTTTGTTTAATTACAAAAAATACAAAGCCAATCACGAAACTCCGTAGCTTGATGAAATAATAAAAAATACAACTAAAAACTAACATTCAATTCGATAAACTTATGCTAGGTTTCATACGTTCAAAGTTTTCGTATACAGATTGGCGAAAGTGAAAATATGCTCATCTAATCTGTATACATACAAATAAGCACTCGGATACGACACACATTCGCATACATATCGTTCGCATAATGGAGCTTCGAAAACATCGCTATCTTAGCGGCCGTTGCGGCTCGTGTTACTTCGATGTTTTGAAAGCACATAGAGCTATTACGATTACGTTTCAACGAAGTGTCGACTTCGGGTTACGTTTTATACCGTCATATGAATCTTGTGCTCGGATGTTTGGTCCGAAGTGCTCGTTCATTAGCATTTTATGACTGATACGAGCGATAAAACTGGAGTACGTTCGTGTGGCGTTAGACGTACCGACACACAGGAAGTTGGCTCTTATTGGCCTTAACCGATCATTTTGGCTGAATGAAGATTGTACTTTTCTATTGTTTGAAATTCGAATTGGTAATTCAACAGCTTATGTTAAGCTTACGTAATTCGTCAGATTTTGCACTTTTATATCTTCTTTCTCGAATTAAAGAGCTTTTTTACGGGAATGTAAGTTTTGTGTAAATGAATAAATGACGTGTTCTTCCGTGAATCATACCTTGTTCGATGTAGTATAAAGCTTTGATATCGCGGTCAGCGTTTCAAATATACCGACGCAAAAAAACGATAAACTTAAGGATACTCTTTGATGTAATTTAGGTACCTACCAACTATATTTTTTTTTTTGGAAACATCATATTGTCCATGTTGATAGTCTGGATTAATATCAGAAATTGAATTGGTTTATAGAATGCTAGGCATGCATGATATTTTAAAACTCTAGTAGATTTTACTATCGGAACTTCAATAGGAATAGGAGCTTATAGCCAAATCGTGTGCCATCTGCCGTTGAGTCTGATTGTCCATCGATCCAATAGCTACTTCACACCCCGGTAAGTCAGAGGCCGGGGGGCGCAGATCGTAAAGTTTTTGTAGATCCTCTACCAACAAAACGCGAATCGTAAAAGTAATTGGAGCCCATTCATATTAATAGACGTTTACGAGGCCTCCTTCATAAAACAGAGATTGTCATCGCTTACGCAATACTAGAAATCGAATTAATACGTTTTGTGTTCTATCAATAGTTTTATTGCTAATAAATCATTGAGTGCTCCGGATATTTCAACGGATGTGAAACTTGTAACTCTTAAAACATACATTAATTTGGCAATGCTACCGCTTGTCACGCTTGCAACACTGTTCATATTCTGTTTTTATATTCTACGGTCAAAGTTACAATTTTCTCACCACTATTCTCTTGTAACAACCAAAATAATTCGATTTGGGCTACTAAAAAATCTGGAATTGAATTTTCTCTACGAAATAGTGGTGGCGTTGAATTAAGCTTAAAACTAGAAGTAGGTATATCAATCCTAGGTATGGACTAGAAATATCTAGAAATCCTTACGCTTATGTTGCAAAAGTGGAATTAAATGAAAATGATTTTATATATTGGTAACTATGGCTAGTGTGCCCGTTCATGAAAGACTATAAGTGATAGATGTTATTATAGGTACTTTAATGTTTTCATCAAGTGAATCCTCGCATCTGTTACAGTATAGGGAATGATATAAAATTGGCAATACATAATATACGTAATTTCATACTCCCCGATCGGAGATAAATAGAAAGGGCATTAGGCTCCACAGCTGTCGCATCGTGCCTCCTGAGGGACTCACACAATTTTCCATCCCTTAAAAGATTCTCGCAAGGTTTCCCTTATTTATTATTATATCTTTATTAACGAGTATTCTGCTACAGCGCGCATACATATAGCAGTGTATACATTGATTATATTTTTTAAAGACAGAGACGCCATCTTTTTTATATTTATATCAAATATATTTAAATCAAATGTTCTAGTAATTACTTGAAACAAAAAAATATATTAATGCGTTCGATGTAACTTGTTTCTGTATTTGCCGGCAAAAAATATATTAATTATGAACACTTCTTCACCTGCTCTGTAAATTAAAAATTTATTGTGAAATGGGTTCACGTTACAAACAAAGTCACTGATTAGGTTACCTTTTACAGGTGGTAAACTTTTTGAAAATTCGTAAATAATATGAACTTACTATTTATTTTGTATACGAAAACGAAACACGTGCCAAAGCATAGTTGTAAAGAGATGTATTCTTAAGAAGGCAAGGTACACCAACATTACAGAAGAAAATTTAGCATATATTTAATATACCATTTCAGTTATGGTAATTGAACAAAGAAATTTCTCATTTCGTTTAAATTATTTTAATTCCAGCTAATAATAGAACAACTTATTTCACGCTTAAAGAAGCTTTGTATCACATTGACTTAATTGGCTCATACCTTTACATAATTTCGAGGGATGAACTAATATTTTCTCCCTCTCACTATATTTCAACTCAAAATGCAATATCGTAACGTAATTTTAAACGAATTAGACTCCCCTACAAGCTCACAAATTTGAATATTCCTCGCGCCCCATTCTCTAAGGTTTTTAAAACAAAAGGGAGAACGCCTTGTTGTTATAATAAACTATATTTATCTCCACCTCTTTAATATTCTCGAAAATACAGCAAAAGTTAGCGCAAAAATTTCTGTGAAAATTCCTAATAGCTTATGTTAACATTAATGCTTCAAGTTTCAACGAGGCACTTTTCCAAGTATAAATAACGTAAATATAAAAAATAAACCTGGATTTTTCTTACCAAGTGTCTTATTAGTAGAAAAGTGTTTCAGGATTTCTGTACATAGAGCTAACAAATTGATCTATGTACAGTACATACGAACGTTATGCACCCCATAGTAATTGCGATGCAAAATGGTAACTGGACAAGGCGTTCCAAGGGGGCATTAGGGTTGCTAACATGCAAATTTAATTTGCTTCCATACAGGCGGTCACCGCCAACCGTGCTCATTACTAACCCTATTGTACGTTTATAAAATCAACTGCATAATATATGGTATCGGATCAGACACATAAATTCCCTTAATTGAAGCTTAATGCGGGCACAAACGGATTCGATGGGAATGAACAATTCGATTATTGGTCAGATGTAATTAAAAATTACTGCCCTTATTCAATCGCAAAAATCAATTAAGATAATAATTGTTGAATAGGTCGATATGGCAGCTGTTATGTAAAATACACTAATTTAAAGGAAAGTTAATTTTATAAGCGTTTATTTTTGCAATAATAGTTCAGCTAATTTTACCGATTTCTTTTACCGAAAATGGTCATTTAATAAATTACAATCGGTACAGACTCACATCTTAAATCCCAAATAAAAAAAAATTGTTTTTAAATCTTGTCAGTTATATGAGATATCGCAGAAAATCAAAAATATCTGAAACCTTCTCATTAAAGGTTTACCTTATTTAAACCGCCAATGTTAGTCTAAAATATTCAAACACCTGTATATTTGAAGGCACCTCTCGAGTGTCGTATTCATACATAATCGTCCGTTAGAGCATTTAATTACGAAGGCTATATTCTAAGGTTATGTGCCCTTAAGCGACGAACGACGGCGTAACGTCCCTAACGCGCTTGTAAACTACTATACAACGCATTATATTTTAACTGAGAATTCCTATTTCACTTTATAGACCCTAACTATTAAGCTAATAGATAAGCTGAATGTAACATAGAGTTAGGTATTTTTAACGACAGCTAGCGATTCTAACAAATAGAATAAAGTGTAATTATAAATTTAGAACACCGATTTGAATAGTTTTTAGACGTTTTTGACAATGTTTATGCCTACTAAAAACTGTATTGGTGATTTCCAATATAGATTGAATACCAAAAAGATGTTAATCACTTAGTAACGTGCCATGTCTTAGTAAATTGGAATTTTAATAACAAATATCAATGCAATTATAGAGCTCTTATAACTCAAGAATGCGTATAAAGGCCCCCATTGAAGCCAGCGATTAAGGCTTTTACGCATTCAGACTGCGATTTAGCGGTTGCCATTTGCGACAGAGCGATTGTAATTAAAAATTAATCCGCCCACGGGAATAAGACCCTCTCAATCGTTCTGTGCTAGAGTTGAAACCATTATGTAAATTTGTAATGCAAATTTGTTTTTTCTAATTTTCATCGAGCAGTATTGGCCACACGTGAGTCACACGCTGAAGCCACTAGGCTTCAGCGTGTGACTCTCATACCTTAGATCGTAGGTTCGATCCCCAGCTGTGCACGAATGGACTTTCTTTCAATGTGCGTATTTGACATTCGCTTGATGAAGGAAAACATTATGAGGAAACCGGCTTGCCTTAAACCCAAAAAGTTGAAGTCTGTCTAGCACAGAAGGCTGGCTATCACCTACTGACTTGATTGACAAATGATCATAAAACAGATATAAAAATCTGAAGCCCAGACCTTAAAAGGTTGGAGCGCCACTGATTTATTTTATTTATCAATTTTCAGTTACTGTAGAACACACTACTATGTAAGTTTCTAATTTATTAATGAAAATATTTTTTTAAATTATGTGTTTAATGTGAAAATAGTATAAACAGTGCTTCCAGTGCTTATATTTTGATACTTTGCCCAAGGTTTAAAAACAGGAACGTCTGTTAAATATATGCATACCGTACAAACGAAGGTTAGCGTTATATTAATGCCGGGCCTCCCTCACCGGGATGGGATTGCAAATTTGTGGCTAAAAATTTATGATAGCCGCGTAGCCATTTAGTTCCCTAAGGGGCGTGGGGTGGAATAGGGCTATCGGCATTTCGGAGAGCTGCTTTCGCTCGTTGTCGGCCGGAATGACCCTAAACATTTTATTTGGTAGAATCGTTATTCTCGTTACACGAAAAATTGCCTCGACTAATCCTGAGTTGCCATTTAAAGGGTGTTTTGTTTAACACAATTTGTTCTGATCAATGTTATGTCGTTGTGGCTAAGAATAAACGGTAATTCAAGTTACTTAGATAATTTGATTAATAGTAGTGTTATAAAGAAGCCATCTTTTAAAAAGTACTTGGATCTGTGTACATCAGTCAGAGTATCTTGTTTATAACGTCTTATGTAAAGCCTCTGTAAGTTTTTATAAAATTAAGAAAGTGTACTGTAGCTACAAACACGCATTTTAAAGTTTAGTGTTTTATTTCTATTTAATTCATTAAATAACAATTTAAATTTACATGCGTAGTTAAAATGTATCATAAATCATAAGTATTTGTCATATTTTCTAAGAGAAAAAGATGCCTTCTGTACCGAATCAATATATTTATTTAAATAAACCAGTTTTTTGTGAGATATGAAAGCGGTCTTTAGAGAGT